GAATCCAACCGACGCATCAGTACATAGTGAGTATGGGGCTTAAGAATTTGAAAAATCGGGGCATTTAAGTTCCTAAAGTATGTATCATTTTCTAAATACCATTATAACTTCATCGTTCCAATAATCCGGATAGTGCTATTATTCCAGTATTTTAAATTATTTACCCCTGAAATCCGGACTAAAAAAACATCGCGAAACCTCAACATTTTCTAATCTGGACAAGCAGAAACGTTTACATTTTGCTTATGAACTGAGACTATATTTTTGAATTTGATTCTTGAGCATGTTAGACCACGTGAAAGGGGAATCCTCCTATAGTCTAAGACACTCGAAGAAATTTCTCAAGACTCACAACCGAGAAAAATCAAAGATTTTCGTTCATATAAGTAAGAACAATCTTCGGATTGTTCCGGGGTTTTTAATAGGACACTGTCCCCTCAATGAAGAAACAACGGCGAATGCAGATTCTTTGAGAAAAAAAATGGGGAAACACCAGAACACCTCATCACTGAGTGCGCCGAGACGACAACCATTCGTGCCATAAACTTTGGTTTGGTTTGGTTTGGATACTGAGGCACAATAGATCCCATACAAAGTACAATCTATAATTTTAGATGCAATGGTTCCAATCAAATTAGCAGATAAGACTCGCCGAAAAATCTAAAATATTAGATTATTGAGATTCGGAAAAAATACTCGTCAAATTGCGGAGCAGATTATGGTTCCAATATCTGAAGTGATTTTAAAAAGAAGGATACTGAGGCACAATAGATCCCATACAAACTACAATTTATAATTTTAGATGTAATGGTTCCAATCAAACGGGCAGATAAGACTCTTGCACTCGCTGAAAAATCTAAAATATTAGATTATTGAGATTCGGAAAAAAATACTCGTCAAATTGCGGAGCAGATTATGGTTCCAATATCTGCAATGATTTTAAAAAGAAGAATAAAAAAAGGACTTTTATATAAAATTTATTTCAAGGGCCAGGCAGGTTTGGTCTATATGTTACGTCGAATTCGGGTAATGCCCGAAAAAAATGCACAGAACTAGTTTTGAGCAAAAAATATTTCCCAAACCCGAAATTGTACATTTAAACGGGTATTGCGCATTACAAAATAATCAAAACTAGTATTGTGCATTTTGAATTGCGCAAAACTAGTTTGGTGCATTTCAAAATGTCCAATACTAGTTTTGCTTGCCCTATTTGATCAATAACGCCCTAACACAAAGGATGGATTGTTTATGAATGTGTTTGATTCAAATATGATTAAACTGACAATAAAATACTTAAAAATAAAACTTTATTCATAAATATTTTATAAATGGATAAATACATAATAATATCCAGAGGACCATACGCTCCTGTAAATTTATTAGTTTAATGTACTTAGTACTTATCATTCAACTTATAAAATATAAAAATTAAAATAACGGAACCCTAAGAATGGTTAGATACCTAATAGATAAAATATTATAAAAAAACCCTTTATGTCGTTTATGGCCTGTAGTTATATGTGCCTGGTGAAGGAAGTATTGCGTATTTCCACCCACAACAAAATCAAAATAAGAATCCCTTAAAACCTAAACAAACTGCTAACCCTACTTTTTGCCGTCTTATTTAAAGAAAACAAGCAAAACTAGTATTGGTCATTTTGAAATGCACCATACTAGTTTTGCACAATTTCAAATGCACAATGCTAGTTTTTGCTATTTTGTAATGCGCAATACCCGTTTAAATGTACAATTTCGGGTTTGGGAAATATTTTTTGCTCAAACCTAGTTCTGTGCATTTTTTTCGGGCATTACCCGTATTCGAGTATTGTGCGTAACATTACCGTTTCCGTTTCATCAAAAATTAGAGTTATTGTACCAAAGATGACATTAAGCAAAAAACAAGCATATAATGCAGATGAGTTTGTCAAGATGAAAAATAAACTCGATGTTGAAAGATCAAGCAGACTTTATGCAACGCAGACATATGAATCAGTTTTTTATGGGAAAAATAATTTTAATCCATAATTTTAATTAATAAACGTTATTTTTGACAATTTTTGAGTTGTGATTGCCGGTTACCGGAATGATATCTACCCGGACTACTGAAGTTATACTGTACAAAAATTTTCCTACAAATTCAGAAACGTTTTTGGACAGTGTTTACCTAACTTTTTTTTATGAAACTCTGCTATTGGTTATAGAAGTCGTAGATTAAGAAACTAGAGGACTTATTGGTCTCTGGACTATGGTACTACATGTTCAAAGCACTATCATAATTTATTTTAATTTAAAAAGCACTATCATAATCTTATAAATATTCATATTATGCTCTAAAAGCACATAAGTAATTGACTAATTAAAATACTTAGATTAGAAAAAAAATGAGAAGTGATGGCATTACTTCAAGTACGGTACGGTAAATTAGACCGAGTACGTACGGTATTAGATATATATATATATATATATATATATATATATATATATATATATATATATAAGATATAATAAAATATTTACACGAGAAAACTCGTTTAAAAACAAAAGTTTGAATAATAATAGTCAGTATTTTTGTAAATCCAGAGTAGTTTTGTAAAATTTTCTGAAAAACCTGAAATTTTCAAAATTTCATGACCTGCCAAAATAGGCTATTTTCCATTTTTTTTTCGTACACGGTAGTAACAATTGGGAAAAATGTGTTTCTAAAAAATACACTTTAAATTAAAATTCATTTATCTATACTGATTGTGTTGGCTAGTTATACAGGGTTGTTCATCACATACGACACGGAGTATTGCAGCTAAACGATTAGCTTTTTACAAATTGTAAGTTTTGGGTTTGTTGAAGGACTATTAGAGCTACAATTTAAAAATATTTGACAAGATACAGAGTGTCCCAAACAAGTAAAAAATATTATTTTATATTATAGTTTTATTTTTTTAAAAGGAACACCCTGTATATTATTCTATTTTTAGATTCTACGATTGAAATAAAGATAAATTTGATTAAGGTTTATCACACTTAAACCTTACCGTTTTTGAAATATTTTCAATTTTATGAAATAGCAGTAAAAATTTTAAGGCTTCATTTCTCCAAGGGTATCAAAGTTTTTAATACTAAATAATTACTGAAGTTTATTTATTGATCAGATATTGTATTGCAATAATAAACAAAATAATATCTTATACAGAGTGTCCAAAAATTTATATTAAATAATTACTAGTTTTAACCGGCAATAACTTGTTAATTTAAATGGAACACCCTGTATATTTTACGAGAATCAGATGCATAATTTAATTGTCTATCAAATTGTACTATACCATTTTTTACCTATCTCTTCAAGTTTTCGTAGAAAATGCATTTTCTTATAATAATTTAGACCTCATCTATCACTATACCTATGAAATATTGACATTTTAGATTATTTTTAAAGATGTAACAAATCTTCAAAGAGTACCAGATTTCATAAAATTGAAAATGTTTCAAAAACGGTAAGGTTTAAGTGTGCACAACCTTAATCAAATTTACCTTTATTTCAATCGCAGAATCTAAATATATATAACATACAGTGGTGTTCTATTTAAAAAAAATACAACTATAATGTTATTTACTTATTTGGGACACTCTGTATCTTGTAAAATTATTTTTAAATTGTAGCTCAAATAGTCCTTAAACGAACCCAAAACTTAAAATTTGTAAAAATCTAATCGTTTAGTTACAATACTCCGTGACGTATGTGGTGAACAACCCTGTATAGTAGGTGCATTAGTGTTTTATTTTGCGTCTGTAACACGAAAGGTTCCAACCACCAACTGTAATAATCTGTTTTTTGTGTATGCCTGCACGGTAGGACTGGCCATATAGTCAGGGTGGCGATTGTCAGTCGAGCCCAGCCGTCGCAGGCCACCCTTTCTTAGGACTTACCTGTAATATAGTTCATTATTTATTCTTAAATAGAAATGAAACAGAAAAAATGACGGTAATAATCTAAGGTTATCCCGAAAACTTTTTTTGGGTTAACAATATTTTCATTTGCTTTGCATCTTGGTTTGCATTGTACGGGTAGTTCCATGATTTCAAACACTAAGAACAAATCAATAAGGAAAAATTGTCTAAAACATAAGTTAAAAAATACGCAAAAAAATCCATCCGGGCCCCTTCTGGTAATTCCATCCGGGCACCTCTGGCCCAGTCCGACTCTGTACGCCTGCCTAATATAATATATAATTTTTCTGATAGGAGAGAGAACTTTATTATACTACAATACGGTATAAAAAAAGTATATACCCTAGTATCAGGTTCTTGACTGCTTAAAATAAAATAAAACTAAAAAAATGGTACTAAAGTCCAACTCAATTTTATTTTTAATTTAATAATTTTTAATCGGTTTAAATAGGTAACAAAGGAAATCTCAAAAATATTCTACATATACCTACGGCTACATACATAATCAGTTTTTATTAGTACTACCGTTATAATTTATTGTTTTTGTAACAGTTGTCAAGCAAATAGGGAATGATTAATATTATTTATTTCGTTTTTGTTGATAAAATTAGTAGAATTTGCTAGTTCATAACAAATTGTAATGTGTATATAGTCATAATAATTGATTATTTGAGCTACTTAAAGTGTGTAGTACCCAAGACAAATTCTCCTTGTTTTAATCTTTTTTTATGAAATGAAATATGCCATCAGAAGCGACAGTCTATTAAAATAAGTACTAGAGTTTTAAAAATTGATATACTTATAGTACCGTTTAAACTTTATTAGCATTACTCATTAATTTTAAATAGATTTCAACCAAAAAGAAAGAAAACTAAATTTGAAAAATACACCTTTACAGATACATACATAGTACTCAACTTGCGGTTGACTAGTACCAACTAATAACAAAAAAAAATCGACTGTCTGTAGCACCGCCAAGAATCTGCGCACGCAACCCCACCTTAGTTCCAGGTGAATTGAGGTGGTACCCGGCTTACTACCTTAGTAAGTACCTGGCTTTGTAGTCGTGCGGTACGATCGTTAATTTTTCCCACGAGCCGTCGACTTTTTTCGTACCTACATTTTTCCCGTCGGTAGGTACTCAATTGTAGATCCTGTTTGGTCGTACTTTGAAAATGTGATGAAGAACTCGTGACGTGCGCAGCATACAAAGTACTACCTCGGTAAAACCATTCGGTTCGCGAGAAAAAAATAATTTTAGTGTTTGGCAGGGATGAAAATAGTGTTTGAGACCGATTGTGGTGTTTAGTTAGTGCTGAAAACACTACCGATGATGGCTTCGGACGAAGATTGTAACAATTACGCATCGTACAGGTGAGTACCGCCGTCGTTCAAAAAGACTTGATTATTAATTGACTCTTAATTGATACTTTGATAAGTAAAGGTTTGGAGACCCTCTATATAACACAACTTCTTGATTCCAGGATAGTTTTGCTGAACGATACAAACCAGAATCTATTTAAAGTTTAGCAGAAATATACATATGATGTGCTCCATATAGTTTCTTCACTTTCCAGTCAAAGTTGGCATTTTGGGTCTTACGTCAGAATGTTCTTGGAGCATTATTTTTATCCCAAGTCAGCGTATTCTGTTACTGGAAAGAATTCTCTTACCAATTATAGCCCTCAGTTTGGATGCTAAAGTATTGATGAATTCAAAAATTCTCAGAAGATATTTTGTGTTGCCAAAGACAGAGTATTGGATAATGATACTATACTATTGTACCTACCATGCCTATTAATATGCTTTATTCAATTGCAATGGCAAAATGGTGCAAATCAGGAGCAAGATTTGTTTCATTGGTCGTTATGTTTATCTTCATTTTAAATAATTCTAGAATATTTTTCTTTTTATTATTTTTTTTGTCAAAAAGTATATCTGTACCTATATCCAGTAGGTATCAATTTTAGCTGATCCTCTTTTCAACTCTCTACTATGCCTCCTTAGTTGCACAGTTCCTTTCAGTCTCCTTGAATGAATCTTGAAAGACAGTTTTCTATTACAGTCGTGGTGGTGGTTTATAGTTTTGTTAATTCTACAGGTTCAAGTCCCCGACTTTAATGAACCCAATAACTCTACTAAATGATACGTATGTCATTGATATTTCCGTATGTCGTCTACTAAACTTCCTTGCAAGCTGCAGCTTGGCAAACTAGGTGCAAATCAGGAGCACGAAAAACGCACAGCTTAGAATTTTCATTTATTTTAAAATTTGATATATTTTAGTGGGCCGATTTTGATTATTTCTTTAGCAATTTGTAGCTAAATTATTTGACTTTTTACTATCTCGTTCTGAATCAAAAATGAAGGTTCCATATGTCAATTATACGAAGGAAAACAAAATGTTGATATTTTTTTCTTAATTTTTACATTAAACCCATGCCTTAGCTTTTGGTTCTAGTCAACAGATCTAGTTAGTTGTCGTTCCAAAGCAGACCTTCTTGACATAAGGCTTTGTTTTTGTTACAGTCCGTTCACTTACATGTAAGTTCCTTAGGTGCAATTCATTAGAAATTTGAAACCCAGCAAGCGGCGGACTCTTAGCGATAATCCTACAATAAATCGACCATCTAGTATTGAAGTTCTCATACGAAAGTTCCTGGACGTCTAGTATATGAACTTGTCTCGAGGAAGCGACTGCAATTTACTTTGTACACACCTAAATCTGTTAGGGACATAATTCTCCATCACCTTCAATTAAAGCTACTGTAGCTGATACAACTTCTGGACTTAAGCTTAAAACCATCTCTGTTAGAGTAACTGCTCAACAGCCAACAGACAATAATACTATGATTTTTCAGTAGCAGTGCTATTACATAAATCATATACACTATTTCACAGGTCTGTTGACTGGGACCAAAAGCAAAGGCATGGTTTTAATGTAAAAGTTATGAGAAAATTAGTTAGTGACTTCTTCAAAAGCGAGTACCTATCTCCAAAAAAAAATATTGAAATGGTCCAAAAAACAAACTATCGAGAATATATACACCTAGATGATAAAATGATTTTTAAATACCTTGTTTTGTTAACGTACTCCACAGGGTGTTTCAAATTTTCATCCAAATATATCAACACTTTGTTTTCCCTGGTATAATTGACAGACGAGAACTGTCATTTTTAATTTAGAAAGAGGTATCAAAAAGTCAAACAATTTAGCTACAAATTGCTTAAACAATCTTCAAAATCGGTTATTTAAAACACAAAATATAAAACTTTAAAATTACATGAAAATTTTAAGGCACCCGTTTTTCGTGCCTGTGAGTGTATCAATAATTGCCATGGCAAAACGGTGCAAATCAGGAGCAATAACATTTGTTTCATTAATAGTTATATTTATGTTCATTTTAAATAATTCTAGAGTCTATTTCTTTCTTTTTGCCAAAAAAGTACATCTGCATATTGTCCAGTTTTCTGTCAGGGGTTGGAACCTTCAAAAAACCTTTCTACCTTAAGCAGATTTCTGAATATAATATAATATGTTTCCTTCGCCCACATACCCGCTTTACCCAGCGTCTGAGAACAACCCGAAAGTACAGCGTAATAGACTCTTAAGAGTCTATTACTCTGTACTGTTCGGGTCGCTCCCAAGGGTAGGGTAAAGCGGATGTGTGGCCGAAGGAAATATATATTATAGTTCAGAAATCTGCCTAAGGCTTAGCCCGATCCTGTCGTGTTAAGCCACACCCAAAATTTTAAACACATGTGCTTTGATTAAGGCTTGATTAAGGTTAGCAGAGCTTCAGCATTTGCCATAAAATAGCGAGCAATTTGTTACAAAACCATATAAATTATATATCACTGTAATCACAAAACTTCAATCCATCTCCGTATTGTAACGGAATTTTAAATTATGTCTTTATTTTCGAGAAAATTTAGTTTCAAACATGAGAAATATTTTGTTGATATTTGACCATCAAGATCTTAAAAATAAAGAAGTCTAAAAAAATATGGATATAGTATAATCCTTTATCTTTAGTTTCCTTCTTCATTTGTGTAAAAATACCAAGCCAGTTTTATATACTATATAAATAGAGATATAGTATAAAACGTTAAATGTCGGGGGGGGCGCTTATTTTACTACTTTTTTCGGACTAGTGAAATGGACTCTTAAATTATCATTATATGATTTTATCGTTGTCAAATGTAATTTGTTGTGCTGTATACACTACTACGCCATAGTACCTATAGTTGGTGTCCCGAAATTGTGTGGTCAGGAGGCGCCACATCTTCTGTGATTGAATAGGTGTCAGATTGCCTTTTTGATCTTTCTTCCATCCATATTGTAAAGGATCTAACTTGTTACCAATCCATTCTTGAATCTAAAAAATACAGATACAAATAAGATTTCCTATAATAGATATATCTTTACAGTTACCTGAAATTATGTCCTGAGTAAATGGAGTTTTGCAGAGTTCTCAGTTGGAGGCAAATTAGCTAAATTAAAAGTGGTCTTAAGAGATTCTCAGATGGTTCATATGTTTAATATAGCTTGGACAGTGATATAGCTTTAAAAGATAATTTAATCCTGACTGAAACAAAAAAAATGTACCTGTCCGTACTGAAAAAAGATGACGATCTTTGTCAATACCTCGACGTATTTTTAGAAAAGAATCCTAACAAAGATGACTTGTTTCAATCAAGATTAAATTACCTTTTAAAGCTATATCACTGCCCAAGCAATATTAAACATATTAACCATCTGAGATACACTCTATACAATAGGATTATATCAAGAGAAGTCCTTAAGACTACTTTGAATTTAGCTAATTGCCTCCAACTGAGAACTCTGCAAAACGCCATTTACTCAGGACTGTATATAACTGTAAAGATATATCTACAAATCTACATATTATAGGGAATTTTATAAGATGTATTTTTTGGAATGGATTGGTAACAAGTTAGATACTTTACAATATGGATGGAAGAAAGATCAAAAAGGCAATCACACCTATTCAATCAACAGATGATGCCTCCTGACCTACTAAAATTAATATTTTGCAAGAGAGTCAGTGCTCTAAAAATTGCCCCTGTAGAAAACTGGCTCTTAAATGTTTCAAATGTTAACTTCAAAGTGTGGTCAATGCTACGGAATCAGTTGCACAAACTTTTGTATTTTAGTTGAGGACGAAAGTGACGCTCAATATGACGTTATAGAAGATTTTATTTAATAACTTTAATTTAACAATAATTTTATTTAATAAATAATATTTAAACGTTATTTTTAATTGTTTTAATGCTTAAATTTATACTTGGTTTATCTATACTAACACTATACTGTTAACGCAAAAATTATAGCTGATTGGTTTAAAAAAACTGGAAAATTTATAAACCGTATAGTAAAAAAATGCTCTATCTCTATTACCATTTATTTTAGAAAAAAAATGATTGCAGGCAAAATATTCTAATTTAATTCTCTACAAAAATCTAAGATGGCGGTGGTTTTTTTCAAACTTCCCCCACTGGGACCGAATGGGACTTTTGGGGGGTTAAATAGGAGATCATTATCTACACATTCCCGTTGAGATCGGTTGGTTACTAATTTGATCCACCTCAACCTCCAGATTGACTGGCCTATTCAGTCGCTTTACCTGTTGCCTGTTCATTTTTTTGGAATCTTTTGATATCCTCCAGTTTTAGGAATTAATCTGCTTTCTAGATGAATTCATGTTTCAATGTTTCCCATATATGAATTTTATTTCATAATGTTCTTAATCATTTAAATAAAACTCAATAACAGTTTAATAAATTTGGTAGGTATTTATTAGTTTTTGAATAAATTAGACTTCGTGGTGTTATCTGATAGGTACTTTACAAATTAAACTATTTAAAAATTCTAATAAAAAGTAATTTAAAGATAAAAATACTAATTTAAAGATAACATATATGTAAGTTTCTTTGTTTGGAATTAAAAAATATATATAGCGTATATCTTATCGTGAGCTTGATGAAACACTAACGTAAAATACTAGAGGAAAAATAGTTGCTTATCATTATTATAGTCGTCATTTTGTACCAATGATTATTCTTAGAAACTTTTCAATAATAATAAAATGTATATATTTTATATTATTGTAGATTACATCGGTTAATTGAATACTTTGAATAGGTCATATTTTACAAAATACAAAAAATTTAAAATTAATTAAGATAAAATACAAAGACATATACATATTTTACTTATAATATGTAGTGACCATAACGCAAAGAATAAATTTAAAAAAAATTACTTACTTACCTATGTCATCAAATTCATTTTTGAAAAATCGAATCCTCAAAAACCAAACTTTTGTGTGACAACAAGTGGCTAAAACTAG